TGTGGGTTGTCCCAGAATAATCTGTGTTTTCGCTCTTCAGATCGCTGATACCGACTGTCATACCTCAGAATTATGGACAATGCTTGTAAACCATGTCATGGAAACTTTGACTATCGGTGATATCGACAGCTGCTACAGGACCTGTGCTGCAAAGCCAGGGTGTCAGAGCATCAACTACTACAGAGACAAGTCTCTCTGTGAGTTAAACAGCAGGACGATCGAGAACACCCCCGATATGAGAGTCGCCAACGAAGACTCGGTGTACTTCACGATTCCAGGTACAATGTTTGAAGACATTTTCGTTCGTTTTTCTACATTGTATCTCTTGCATTGAACAAGAGTCCGCTAAATTCAAAATTCATATGAAATGTACTCTCCCAGGCGTTTGCTATTAAAAAAGCTTGTGACTGAAAGTCACATGACGGAGGCTGCATGACTTTGACTGAGCAAGGAGTACAAAACCGTAATTTTGACTTCACTACTCATATACAACACAACGACACACTAACACTTGGGCAGGTCGGTCAGCCAGCCCCAGATAGTCTTTATTGTTTTATGCTATAAATATTGATTTATCCCAAACTCGTTCCTCGTTTGTCACAAATTACATTATCTGTCCGCTCGTGCACTCCAAAAGAAATCCTTTTCAAAAAATGTTGTTTTCAAATTTCCCCCTCGTTGGCAAGTGTCTCTTTTGCTAATTTTCGTTTTTTTTTTCTTAATTGTGTCAAAGGAAAAATGTCATTGACTGACTTAGGTTGGGACGTTTTTTTCGCTCATTTGTACAAGCGAAAGTCGAGCTAAATATTTGCAGCCCTTCCACTCACTCCATGACTTGTTTCCAAAGTGATAATGTCATTAATCTCCTCAAGAAATCTAAATATCTTTCAGTGGATGGTAATTTTACCGAGTGGGGCAGATGGTCGAATTGTTCCCTAACCTGCGGCAATGGAACAAGATATCGAAACCGTTCTTGCACCAACCCACCACCTGCTTATGGAGGAAAGAATTGTACTGGGCCATATAACGAGAAAATGATCTGTAACCAACACCCATGTAAGCGGTATTTATGACCAGAAAATTACACTTGAAAATTAATTAATACCTTGTATTCTTGTGCTAGCTAGGATATTTTCTTGGTTAATCACTTGAATTTTCTTTCCAACGGCGAACGCGAGGCTTGCAGCTCTGCTTCCATCAATTTATGCAACAAACTTCTACTACTTCTTCTATTTTCGGCTAAAAAGGTCTATTGCATTGTTTTCCGCGTAAAACAAGGAAATGGAATAGTTAAGAGAGGCTGTCTGAAAATACCAACTATGGTTGGAAAAAATTGAAAAAATATAATTTTTGTTTTCTATTCCAGAATATTCCTTTATGGGTGCCGAATCTGGGAAAAATAGTAAAAAGTTGTATCTTTTATTTTTTTCGGAGATATTTGACATTTTGTGTCGTATGGCTCACTGGCGGCTTTTTCAAAGGCAAAAGTATACTTAGGGAAAAAATCGAAAAAATATTCCTTTTTGAATTAAATAAAAAATAAATATGCTCCACTTAAAGCCAGGACAATAAACAACACAACCAAAATAAATAAGTTGAAATCAATGCAAATCTGAATATTTTGTGAATTTTTGAGTTTGGGGTATTTTCTTGACGGTAAAAAATGCTTAAAATTAAGAGCAAAATTTTCCCTATTTCTACATGGACTAATGCTTCCAAAATATTGTCAGGTCGAAAAGTAATGTCTTGCCTTTGATAAAATGCAATAAAAAATTTGGGCTACTAAAACGGTCAAACAAGACAGCTCTCAACGCAACCTGTCTAGAGGTCAAATTTTAGCGGCAAGTTCACAGGGMCTCACATTATGCTTGAGGTAACGCCATAAATTATCAATAACTTTAAGGCATGCAAAAGACAAAAATGCTTCCGTAGATTGTTATTAGTGCTTTATGAATCAAAAAAAGATGAATTACAGATAAATTTGAGTCCGTTTAGCTTCAACTAAAGTCATACCTCGATGTAGCGATCTAGTTTGTCCTTGCCGAAGTCTATGCAAATCGGTAGATTTATAAGTCTATATCTTGTTGCCATGTCAAAGTTCTCCAGGTAGTTCTCCCTTGAAACTTTTTTTGTATTTAAAAGTGATCCTTAATCCAATGGTCACATTTGATTTGACAACAGAAATATAACAACAACCTTCTGTTTACAAGGCAACGATCGCG